AGGGGCAGAGCCGAGGTTGGGATCTCATTGGCTGTTGTGATCGATGTATGTGCGTGTTGTGCGTTGGACTTTTCTCGCGCCGTACGTAGGCAACAGTGCTAATCGGAGGTTCTGTGCATAGATGTACAATTTTCAAACTGAACGCGTTCGTCAATGGCACAGCATTGAAAACAAAAAGTGTATTTGATAGGCGACGTTTCGTGCAACGGCCCTTCTTCACAGGTCATAGGGAGGCCGGGTAAGGATATCAAAATAGCTTTCGGCCATTTATATGCACGTGGCATGTGACGTCATTGACACCCTCACACACGTGGGTGCGCCATCACAAGGGCTTATCCAGGTGAAGCAGTGTATCAAATGTAAGGTGCAGTATTATTATCATATAGTTTATTTGGACCAACACATGGGGAAAGCAATGGTTATTATTTCGTTGTTTGAGGTGTGTACGGTGCTTCTCGTGCAAGACGCGTACTCATCACGCCCTCTAGAGCTCCGTAAATATTTAGTGGACGCCCTTCCACCGGCGGCGGCGCGAGCGAGCACTTGCAAGGGCTGCGCCTTTACCTACCTTACCTGGTTCACAAATGGAAACAAAGTCGACTTCATTTCTTGCGCAAATGATCATTACTGAGGCGGTGCTCATCTGCTTACTATGCCTGCATGCGATCGTGGTAGGACATTCCACATTCCTATGGAAGGTTGGGCGGAGGGGTTGGAGACAGCAGCGGCGATTCTAATAACCCAGTGTTGTGGACAACCCACTCACGACTACGGCACGACGTGGTATTCGTTTTATCGACCCCCGCCCCCGGAAGGAATGATTGTTGGGATGAGCCAACCACCCACCCAGCAACACCTCGTCGCAGCAAAACTCCTGTTTGTCTTGGTGTGTGTGTGTCTCGCTCTGCGTGTCTCTGTGTGTGTGTCTCTCTTTCTGCATGCGTGTGTCTGCCTATGCTGTTCCCGTGTCTGTGTTTTATCATTCATTCTTACCTGATGATGGTCGCTTGTGTTGCAACCGAAACGTCGCATTTATATGACTAATTGATTTTATTTTTCTATGGTTCTTTCGGTAAAGTCACGTAGAATGAGAATAAAATAATAAATTGATAAAATAAAATAACAACACAAGAATATTATTGTGTTATTTTATTTTATCAATTTATTATTTTATTCTCATTCTACGTGACTTTACCGAAAGAACCAAAGAAGATGAATCATTGCAGTCACGAAAGCTTTAAATCGAAATGTATTTTTCTACGTGACTTCTCCGAAAGAGCCGAAGGGTAAGTTCCCCGCAGTCACGAAAGCTTCGCATCTCGTTAAAACTTTGACGATTTTGAGAGCCGAGCGCTTGCGGTCTGAGGCCGCGGTGGGGCGTAGTGGCCAGGCCGACCCCGTTTGGGCGAGCGAGCGAGCGTTGTGGACAGCGCCCCAGCTAACGAGACCTCACGGCCCCTACCCCCCAAACCCCCACCCACCCAGTTCGATTCCCGATCACGGCCAACACCAGCGACGATTGTCTGAAACCGTTGCTGGGCCTCCCCCCTAGGTCGACTCGGCCTCAAATGAGTACCTGGTGCGGTGTGCAAAAACGGGCGTGGACTTGGCCAACCAACCGCCTTGTGTGCGCCGTGGCGGAATGAATGGGCGCTCGCAAACAGCACGTGCCCACCAGAAATGCGGGCTAGGGCTATAAAAGGGGGGTATTTGTATTTGGGGGGAGCGTAAGGGTGGCGGTGAGCGCGTTCCAGTCCCACTTACGAAGCAAAACCCGTGGCGATTTTGAGAAATAAGGCCGTTGGACCTCCGCCAGGTACGACTCGGCCTTCAAAAATGGAATTACAAGATGCGGTTTTGAAAACAAAAAATGAAAACCCATAATCGCTGGGGAGACTAAGACGGCCGGGCGTGGTGTTGGCCACTCACACCACCACCCCCTCTCTCTCTCGTATGTGTGCCTTGCCCGGCCTTTATAGGTGCTCGCTAACAGCACTTGCCCCCCTCCAAGAGTATTTTAAAGGCTACACGTGGGGATTTTTGCCTTTTGTAGAGTCGCTGCGTTATTGAAGCTCGCCAGGCAAGCACATGTTTTATGGTTGGAAAGAGGAGAGAGAGAGAGAAAAAAAGAGTTTGTGGGGAGGAGAGGCTATTTGATTTATGGTGGGACTCACTGGAATGTTGCCAGGGAGCCTGGATTGTGGCTCCGGCGAGGTGAGGAGGAGGAAGGGAGGGGAGGAGGAGGGGGAGGGAGGAGGTGGGGGGGGGAGGGGAGAGGAGGAGGGGGGGGAGGAGGAGGGGGGGAGGAGGAGGGGGGGGAGGAGGAGGGGGGGGAGGAGGAGGGGGGGGAGGAGGAGGAGGGGAGGAAGAGGAGGGGGGGGAGGATGAGGGGGGGGAGGATGAGGGGGGGGAGACGCCTCCCCATGGGACACAGACCACGCTCCCATCACCCACACACCACCACGTATGTAACGTACACACGGATCTACCAAGGCTAAGATGCACGCACGCGCACACGCGCGCACGCGCAAACCACGTACGTTCGAAAGAAAGGCAACGATTTACCACCTCGTCCCTGCAGCCTTAACGGACTGTTGGGGCAAGTGCTGTTAGAGAGTACCTATTAAGACCAGCACGGCACACGAGACGGTGGGCGACCAGTGACACGCCCGGCCGCGTTTGTCTCCCTGGTGGCAATGTTTACCACACTGCACCAGGTACTCGTTGAAGGCCGATTCGACACAGGGGAAGGCCTGGGACCGGTTCGTCGCTGGTGTTGGCCGTCAGCGGCAATCGAAATCGGATCGCCGAGTTCACAGCGCAGCGCGCTAACCGCCACACCACCGCTCCCCACTGCACACACAACGACAAAGATCCCCCGTGTAGCCTTAACAGACTGTTAGGGGCAAGTGCTGTTAGCGAGCGCCTATGCGGGCTGGGTGGCGAACACCACGCCCGGCCGCCTTTGTCTCCCCGGTGCTGATGTTTACACACCTGCACCAGGAGGATACTCATTTAAGGCTGAGTCGACCTAGGGGAGCACACACACACACACACATACGCGCGCGTGCTATATACACGCACGGCACAAAACACTACAATGTTATTGTCTGTGCTGGCATACGTGGAGTAAGCGTGCACACGAATAATCAGGGTAATTGCCTGAAGCATTCTTGCCCTTTCCTCAATAAAATACGCACGCGCGCACGTTTAGCCATTTCAGCATACGGCAGGGGAATTGTGATTTAAGGATTACCGTATTCTCCGGTTAACAAGACCCACCGTAATTCCTGTGCCCCCCCCATACTAATGTGGTCGCACGCGCGCGCGCGCTCACACCCACGCACATACCGGATTATAAGACGCACCTACCGGATTATAAGACGCACCCTACCGGATTATAAGACGCACCCACACGTTTTCAGGGGCACACGTGCGTCTTTTAATCCGGTGAATACGGTAGTAGTAGGAGGAGTGGTAGAGGTTTAACAGATGATGATTATTTTTTATTTACATTTATACTTTAACGAATCTCCCCCCCCCCCCCGCCCGCCACCACACCCATTCGAATCAATAAATTTTGACAAATTTGATGAAAACATTGATTTAAATTAAATTTTAAAATAAATATCTATAATGGGGGTGGAATATAGTGCCCTCAAGTGGCTGCTTCGCAGGTCACGTGGTGAGCTCGTCGTCCCAACACACCACCACTCCACCGCTGGATGAAATCCTTCCCGCAAATCGCCTGCCGCGATGTCTCTCACACCATCCCGCGGACTCGTTCCACTCTCGAATGCCACTCCGTTGTTATTATTATTCTTCGTCGACTTCTTCTTCTTCCTCTTCTTCTTCCTCTTCTTCTTCCTCTTCTTCTTCCTCTTCTTCACCAACGTCGTCGTCGTCGTCTTTTCCTAGCCAACACGTGTACTGCCCTAGCCCCACTCGGTGGCTGATTGTCATCGGAGGAGTACGGTGTTTCTCAAACTTTGGTTGGGTCCCCCTCGGAACCACCCAGCCCCTCCCCCCCCCACCCCCTCCAGCCCCCCACCTCTGGTGACAAAACTCATTGCCACGTATCTCTCTAAATGCCAGGAAGTACAAAATAATTTACATTAGCGGAACACATTATGTAATGTTTTCACTCAGCTATAAGGTTTGCTTTGGGGAGGTGGTGGGGGTGGGGGGCATTTCGAGCTTGAGATTCGGCGAGGCCTTCATCAAAGATAAACAAAGCCGAGCGATAAACAACATTTGGAAGATGGCATTTAACCCAGAATCTGAACATTTTTTTTTTATCCTGGAGGAATCCGATGAGCTAAGAAGCTCTTTTTGCACAGATGCCCAGCGCGGGGTAAGAACGTTACAACAACAGCACAAAACACGATAGTAGTACAAAGTACGAGATAGGTCAACACACCACCCAAACACAAACAAATCAAACGAAACCCTTCCCATCCTACCAGGCAAAGCCCACTGAGGTATTTACTTGTTTTCCAGAAGCCACCTGGCCACGAATGATAGCTCAACAAAGTTACCAAAATCATCCACATTGTAACCATCCAGTTGCGTCTCTTGGCAATCTCCATCATGCCATCTCTGTCCTCATTTAAACCGACTCTATTGTCAAGATCACTCCAGGTTAAGTGTGAATGCAGCCTTACAACATAACTGCTCTGACTGTATCAAGTATGTGTGTTTATGTTTGTTTACATCTGTAATTGTGGAATATTTTGTAAGGTGTCTGCCGGCAGAGTTGGCCGTTCAAAAAAAAAGCTTCTTAGCTCTACGGACTTTACTCGGGAAATGTAACTTCTGATTCTGAACACAACCATATTCATCATAAGGCACGGGGGCGGGGGTCAGGAGGGGGCAGGGGGGGGATTATGGATGGGGGGGGGGTCTTAACAAATTAAACCCCCACACTCCCCCACCCCTAGCAATCCACAGTGATATTTAAATGAATGTGATAAAAAAAATCAGTAAGAAATTCAACGTACCACGATGAGTTGGCTTCAGCCCGTACCTACGAGGTAAACAGAAGAGAGACCGGTTGCGTTATTATTATTATTGTTGTTGTTGTTATTATTGTTGTTATTATTGTTGTTGTTAATATTATTGTTGTTCTTGTTGTTATTATTCACCCTCCTGGGTTAACACGCGAGCGTACAGGCGGCATGGTGTCATTGCGTGGCACAGTCCAAGTAAGCATCTCAGAGGGATGTCCTTCAATTGCGTGTGGATCTAGAACTTCTTTCGCACCCTACGTGGCCAACCGTGGTGATCGGAGGTGCGGGGTAACGACAACAAGCTACACACAAACAGCAGCTCTATACACACTTTACTCGTTGGTTCTTTCGGTAAAGTCACGTAGGTATAAAATAAAATAAATTAACTTACGACGTTTCGATTGCAACACAAGCAATCATCATCAGGTGGGGAAACCACAGCAAAAAAATTTTTTGCTGAAGTGGTAAATTTGTTTTTTGTCTTGCTGTGGTTTTCCCACCTGATGATGATTGCTTGTCTTGCAATCGAAACGTCGTGATTTAATTTAATGTATTTTATTTTATACCTACTACGTGACTTTACCGAAAGAACCATTGAATATGGATCCCTGCAGTCACGAAAACTTCAAATCTAGATTCGATACACATAGTTCGTATATTACTGGTAGGAAACGTAGTGGACTGGAAGCCCAACCAGGATTCATTCACAGGAGGCAGGGGATTAATTGTGTATGTCTGTGGATGTCTGTCCACGTGGGAGGGGTGGGGCTGGGTGGAGAGGGGAGGGAGAAGCTGGGTGGGGAGGGGCTGGGTGGGGCTGGGTGGGGAGGGGCTGGGTGGGGAGGAAGGGGCTGGGTGGGGAGGGGAGGGTAGGGAGGGGCTGGGTGGGGAGGGAGGGGTGGGGCTGGGTGGGGAGGGACTGGTCACCCCGTGGTGCCCTTATAAAACTCAACGTTTAACCTACTCACGCCGGCTTGTGCCCGCCCTCACAGTCGGGCATATTTGCGGAATACACCACGTGGTGGTGCCGTTGACCCTGGCCATTGACCGAGCAACCCAACGTTCCTACCAGCTCCCTCCGCAGGAGAATGTGTTTGAAGTCTCGCTCCCCGTGGTCGCGTGGATTTTTCTCCGAGTCCGCCAGATCCCCCCCCCCCCCCACCCAACACATTTAGAATCAACTCGCGTTTGGAGTATTTGGCCGCAATGAATTTGCACGCGATGAGCCGCTCCGTTGAGCTATCATTTGTGGCCAGGTCACCTCTAAAAAAAAAGATCAATGTAGCTCAGTGGAGTCTTACCTGGTAAAAATAAAAAAGAGGTTAATAAGTTAGGAAGGCTTAAACGATGGTCGCGCGGCAGGTGTGATTCCCCGCCGTGTTGGTGAACCTCCTCCCTCGGGAGACACCGCTCATCCGGTCTCACCTGGGCTCTCATCTAACCATAAAATATACCGGTCCTCCGTCCGTGCATCTGGCTATATCTGTTGAAACTCGAAAATCAAAACGGAACCGGTATCGCTCTTTCACCTTCTGGCACCCGAAGTATGTTTTATTTGAATGCTTTCTTTTTTAAAGCTCGGATTTATTGCAAACGTCTCTCGTTAAACTCTGAAGTTGACATTTATTGTCGTGTTAGGGGCCCCCGTGGCGTGACTGCACGTGCGGATCACACGGCTATGCACTCGATTCGTGGGATTATTTTTTTCACTTCGCATGGAATGAAGTCCATCGCAGGACGGGACGCGCCGTCTCCAATGAAAAAGGCCTTTGTGAAAAAGACGGACAGCACGCCAAAGCACGGGAAGGGCTGGGATGAGATTGGACGAGATGGGTTAAGCGTTGTGATGAGGTGGCACGGTAATTTCACTGAAATAGGATGGGATAAAATTATGCTGGAGTGGAAGAGGAAGGAGTGGGTTTAGAGGGGATGGCAAGTGGACGATAAGGGATGGAGTGCAGCGAGATGGGAATACATTTCGTAGAGGATGCTAAGGGAGGGTAAGGCACGTGAAGCGGATGGAATTTGATGTGAGTGGACGTGATGGGTTTTAATGGGATTGGATGGAATTGGGTAGGTATTGGATGGGAAGATGTGTGATTGGACGTGAAGGAATGTGACCAGATGGGAATGGGATGGAAAGAGAATAAATGCGACGGTGGGAAGGATTGGGAAGGAGGGTTGATGGCATTGCGAGGGAAGTGAAGAGATGAGAATGGGTAGGGAAGCAGGCTGTACTTATTTAACACTTCATTAGCCACACACGCTCCAAATAACGCCCCCCCCCCCCCACGTCTGTGAGTAGACACGCGCTCTTTAATTTACGAACTTGGGCCCCCCCCCAAAAAAAAAGAGCATAATAACTTTGCAAAGTTAAATCTAATTTACGAAAACAGTTAGGATGTTCTTTTTATTTTAATTGCAAACTGAACGGTGATCTAGACACAGACTATTACCGCTGTACGTACTGCATAATTAATTGCAATTTAACTATTACCTCCCACCTCGTTCCTCCCCCCCCCAAGAGAGGCGAGTAATTAATTCGCGGTGAAAGCATGCAATTGCAATTAGCGCGGCATTGTCATCGTGAATGCATTTGAAGGAACTCAGATTTTTCCGTGTGTTGTTTTTGCCTACCGGTTACTGACTGCTAGCTCCTAGTTACATTGTCACAGCGGGAAGCACTTATACATGCAACGGCTGTGCCACTGGAATTCAATTGCCCCTAACGGTTAATTGTGACTTCCTTTTTTTTGGCTGGGAAATGAAGCTGCACTCACTGGAAATGGTTTAATGACGTCTCCCGCACAGACGCGCAAACCGCCTAAGACGGGGGTGAGCAGGAGGGAGACTTGAGGGTGAGTTGGAACGATGCGGTAGAACGAAATGTATTCGGTTTTTTTTACTTTATTTTTATTTTATTTTTTATTTTATTTCTAACTACGTGACTTTACCGAAAGAACCAAAGGGTATGAAATGTATTATTATTATTATCATCATCATCATGTTTGTTTACCAAGGAGCAGCCTCACTGAGTCTCGTGACCCCCTCTTTCAAGAGGGGCGCCACGGTGGCTAGGAGATGTTGACTACCACGCCTGCTTTACAGGAGGTCGCGGGTTCCATCCCGACTTTAACGCCTGAAAATGTGGAGTTTGTGCGTTTTCCCCATGGTCGCGTGGATTTTTCTCCGGGTCCTCCGGTTGTTCCCTCCACGTTTAGAATCGACGTGGGTTTAGAGTTATTGGCTGCTGCACATTTCCACACGATACGCCACTCCGTTGAGCTAAAATTTGTGGCCAGGTCGCTTCTGAAAAAGAGCTATGTAGCTCAGTGGGCCTTACCTGGTACAATAAAATAAAACAAAAGTTTAGTTAAATGTTGGGCCAATGTCGAGGTCTGTCAGCTATGAGAGGGCCTCGGAAGAATCAAAACGACACGAAGTTCTCTCCCTACTGAAACCTACTATAGCTCAGTGGGCCTGAGCTGGTAAAAAAAATATATATTTATATTTTTAGTTTACATTTCCAATTGACATTACTTTCTTCCAAGCTGACAAATGTGGGCCGCACAGTTAGTCAATGACGTCATGGAATTATTTTACTTCAACTTTGGAAGCAGACGGCAGTCGCAGCGTGATGTACGGGCAATACGCCCGCAGTATTAACCAGGGCGCCCGCTTGATTTTGAACCGCGAATCTCTGCAACAAGCGGCCAACGTGCTACCACCCCGGATACAATTGGAAGGGTGGACGTGGCGAGAGTAGAGGCACGGAGTAGAAGCCTAACACATAGAGCAATAATCTACGACGATAAATAACATTATTTTTTTTTTATATAAATAACGAATTTAACAATCATCCCAAAACGTGGGTGAGTTGTTCACGATAGCGGAGAGATTCTTGAGACTCGATTGAGGCCACCCATGGGCACAGTGGTCGGCAAGCAAAATAACAAGAAGATTCATTTTTTTCGAATTCGTTAAAAGCAACCCTCCCCTTCTAGATTTGAAGCTTTCGTGACTGCAAGGATCCATACTCTTTGGTTCTATTCGGTAAAGTCACGTAGGCAAAAATAAATACATATCACGATTTTTATTATTTTTTTATTATTATTATTTTTTTACCTACGTGACTTTACCGAATAGAACCAAAGAGTACAACCCTCCCCCCCCCCCCCCTCTCAATATATCAAGATCCCGCATTACACGGTGGTCCATATGAGATGGAGGGTCCTGAATAAATGACGTCACGGAACAGGCCCCACACGGAGCCGAATCCAGACCACGGCCCGAGTAAAATGAAGCCCTTCTGTCGGTCGGGATGTGAAATCGTTCTAATTTGCTATCTAATTTTTGTCTTTTCGCTTATCCATTATTGTTTATTTATTTGTTCATTTGACTACGAGTTAAACTAGATTCGAAGCTTTCGTGACTGCAGGAATTAATCTTTGGTTCTTTCGGTAAAGTCGCGTAGAATATAAAATCAAATAATAATGGAATAAGACGTTTCGGTTCCAACACAAGCAATCATCAGGTAAGAATGAATGATAAAACACAGACACGGGAACAACATAGGCAGACACACACATGCAGAGAGAGACACACACAGACACACATGCAGAGAGACACACACACAGACACACATGCAGAGAGACACACACACAGACACACATGCAGAGAGACACACACACAGACACACATGCAGAGAGACACACAAACAGACACAGACACACATGCAGAGAGACACACACAGACACACATGTAGAGTGACACACACAGACACACATGCAGAGAGACACACACAAACACACATGCAGAGAAACACACACACAGACACACACACAGACACACATGCAGAGAGACACACACACAGACACACATGCAGAGAGACACACACACAGACACACATGCAGAGAGAGACACACACACAGACACACATGCAGAGAGACACACACACAGACACACATGCAGAGAGACACACACACAGACACAGACACACATGCAGAGAGACACACAT